ATCATATGGGAATTAGATTCTGTGAAATGGATAAAAAAAATATTAAAAATTGATGGGTGTACAAATAATTTTGCCGTTGACTGTATATATGAAATTTATGGCTAAACTCGTATCAGCATCTGCTGGTGTCTACTTAGTTGGTTATGTGATTCTGCAACACATGATTTGCAATGTATCATGTTTCACTTAATTGCATCCTATAACTTTAATATATATATATATATATATATATATACAGACCACTTTAAGGTACCATTATGATAATTTATTTCACCAGAGCCCTCTTAAAGGACGTGGGATCATCAGATAGCACTTCCAAAAATTAAATGAAACCTGTTTTGTTGGTCTGTGTTTCTTTAAATATTAGCTCTGGATTTACATTGAGCTCTCAGGATTTCATCCTCCTTGGGATTACCCAATGGATTACAAAGTTCTTTTAACAACTATATATTCAACAGTGAAACAAATATATATATATATATATATATATATATTATTATTTCTTTGAATTTATAACAAAGATATTTAAGTCATATTAAATTACAAGTTATTCTTATAACTGCATGCCTTTTATGCATTTGTATCTTTCTGGTTTATTTGTTCTTTCCTAATCTATTGTTTTTTTTTTTTTTTTTTTTTTTTGTGATTTGGTGTTGAATTATTAAATGTTATCTTCTAGTAATTGACTTCCACTTTTGAATTTGACTTGTTAGCATCTTGTTTTCTTTCTCCCCCAGTATTACCTGGAAATTGGGGATGGTTCTCTGTAAATGTCTATAAGATTTATTTGTATTAATATTCTTTAATTAAATGTTAGAAACTGAAATAGTAATTTAATGCAATAGTTATATTATTTATATTATAAAATACAAAAAACAAAAACACTGTTCCTGCTTTGGGTTTAAGGTGATTTATGTATGAAATTAATTTTAAATTTTGACTCCTATTGACTATAATTTTTGATAAATATTAGATTGCCCATGACATGATTGAAGAGTGGTCCTTTTGTCAAACTGAACTTCGACATAATTATAGGTAGTCATTGTCATATGAAGTGTTGAAAAGTTCTTAAACATTATCCAAAATCAGTATTTTGCTTCAGAATAATTTTTTTTTTTTTTTTTTTTTTTGTATGTGTCTAGGTAAGTCAGTGTTTCAACACCCTTGTATATATCAAAAATTTTACAGAGGCTAAGATAGTTATGTATTTCCTACTGGTGCCTGAAGTAAATATAAATAAAAGCCAAAATTTCTAATGATTATTTTCTAGGTAGTTTGGACTTCTTGTAAAAAAAACAAAAAAAAAAAAACACAATCTTCTTGCACTGAATTGGCCTTGTACCATAGAAATTTAAGCTTAGTAAATAGCAATAACTTTTAACATGAAGTAGTAGAGCCCGGCGTTGCCCAGGGATGTAACAGTAAGAGATAGATCAAGTATCGACCATCATAAAGACTGAAAAATAAAATTGGCAAAGATTATTGTTTAAGGTTGATGGACATGCATGTCTTAATTTTTTTTTTTTTTTTTTTTTTACGAATTGGTCAAACCCAAATTCAAACAAAAACATTGTTTACAATCATTATGAGTCTATCGATTGATGAATAGAACTTTATTATAAACAATTCTCTTAAATGGAATTTTTAAAGCATTCTGAATGTAAATAAAAAAAAAAGTGTGCAAGACAATAAGAAATACTACCTGCCAAAAAAAAAAAAAAAAAAAAAAAAAAAAAGTGGATGTTTGTTTTATTGGCTGAAAAATGTAAGAAATCCGATCCCATATATAAGAACACACACACACACACACACACACACACACAAACAAACAACCTGGTTTTTTTTAATCTAAGTCACTCCACGGAATCGCTAAAACATAGAGCATAGTCTGATGAAAAAGACGCTAAAGTTTATGAAAACAAAATTTTATCGTCAAAATGCTTATGTTTTTATGAAAAGGATAGACTAAATTTTTTTTTTAATTATTTTTAAAAATTTTTCCATCTTTTAGAATATTCTAAATTTTGATTTAAAAAAACCTTGTTTCTCTTTGTCGCAACAAGGGGTAGTAAATAACATAGATAATTTTTTGCGTTTTTTTTGTATTTACACAATTAATTTGGAAAATCTTGCAAAAATAAAAATAATTGTCAGATGTTAATGAAACTTTCAGAAACTATTCACAGATGATTGAAATTATTATAAATGTTTTTTTTTTTTTTATTAAAGTCATGGTAGAAATATTTTTTTTTTATATTTATTAACACCCCATAACTAATTTTATGAAAAACTCTAGAAATTCGAGACCATCAGTTTTAGTGATTACAATAGTTAAAAGCACAAGGCTTTGAAGAATGCAAATCATTTTTTTTTTTTTTTTTTTTTTTTTTTTTGGCCAAAATCTGAAAATCAATTGTAACATACAAAACTCAATAAAACAAATATATTATTTAGTTTCAAATTCTTTTATTTGTTTTAATTTGTTTTTATGAATATGGACAATATTTTCTGGAAGCAAAAAAATTTTTTCAATGAAAATTGAATTTTTAATACAATTATTTTTATTTCTTTAATTTTAAAAAGATTTTTAAAAAATGTTTAAATTGAATTTTAACATTAATTAAATTAGTTAAAAGCAACATCAACCTTTCAAAAAGATTGTCATTGTCTGCTTTGAAAATTGTATAATTTGGACCAATCAGATTAGCCATGGTAATTAAGAAATGTAATTTTTGTGTTTATAGTCGGACAGTAATTATCAAGTACGGAAGACCAACCAGAATACAATTTAGTTGCATTATTTGAGTTCAGCATTGTTCTCGGCTGTTAAGCCCTTTACTTTTGCCAAACACGTATGGAGAAGTTAATTTGAGTTTTCAATTTCAACTGAGAAGGGTACCTACAAGTAACAGCATCATCTTATGAAACTTAACTACTGCTAAACTTTAATTTATATGATCTTATTTTTATATTAATCTCAGTTGACATTTTTCCATAAATGAAATATCAAAATTAATAATAAAATGAATGGAAATACAAATAACACAGTAAAATGTAATAAATGTACATAAAAATATAGTATTTTATGTACACTTCTGATAAAATTTCATAAGAAAGGTACCTAAATTAATTAGATACCTTTTTCTTATGAAATTTAATCTCACTATTAAGTCTTCTATTTTTTAATTTCTTTATATTTTCCATAAAGCATAAACGTAAAAATGAAAGCTAAAAAAAAAAAAAATAAAAAAAATTAGAGCGCTGAAAGTTTTCCTTAAAAGTAACAAGGTAAATAATTTGTTCTTAAATAATTTCACTTCCTTCCATCCGTAGAAAGAATTCTCCTCCCATAAGTTATCTAAACGTCATGAATGTGCCTTTTCGTCAAGCAAGACGCGCGAAGGTTATGACTTGCTTTGTTTTATTTTCAAATTACATTTTTTGGTAGCAGAAGCTAAGTTAAGCTTGGTTCAAAATATTTTAAATAAACAGTATAATTTCTGTTTTATTAAAATCAGTTTTGAAAAAATAATTGATTTTTAAAAGAATATCAAAGTAAGATTTTAAATTTTTTATCAAATTGAAAAAAATGATTGAAAATGATTATCTGTCCTTTTTTTTTTTTTTTTACCAAAAAAAAAAAAAAAAAAATATTTTTAACGAAAATTTCAGACGTGCTAGGAAAGATTTAAAAAAAAAAATGTAAAAAAATACCCCCAAAATACTTTGATCTTTCCTCTTTAATAATAATATGAACATCAGACGATAAAATTGTTTTCATCAAGTTCGGCATCTTTTTCATCATGCTATGCTTTTTTGTTTACATTTCAAATTGATTTTATTAAATAACAGCTGTGTTTTTCCCATTTTCGGCCCCGTTAGAACCACCACAAGGTAATTTTATGTAGTCCTGTGAAGTTTTGTTGAAATCGGCTAAAAAATGTAGGAAATTCGATCCAACATATAAACGTTACACACACACACACACACACAATCTGCGTTTTATAATAAGTAAGATGCTCTTGAAAATGTAAGGTGATAATTTTGTATTGAAGAATTCTTCAGTTCAATCATGTTGTTGGTTTTTTGTTTGTGTTTGTTGTTTTTTTTTTTGTAGCTCTTCATGGAAATTGGTAAAGATGGGTAGAATTTCTTCTATACAGAAACTGAACAAATCATATTTTATCTATATTTCTCAAACTTTTAATTTAAAAAATCTCTGCATTGTAGTTTTCAATGAGTTAGCTATATTAAAAAAATGGTGTGCATGGCAAACAGACATTTCATTTGATGTGTGTCTGCTTCTGAAAGACTAAGTGCCTCAGATACCTCAAAAAGAACTTGAAATTATTTTTACAAAGCAATTTTAAATCTGACTTTATAATATTTAGAGAAATTAGTCAAAGTATTATCTATTTAGCGTTTAGTAGTCTAAGTATTGTATTTTATAGGAAGAATTATAATAGGAATACACAAGAATCTCTTTCAGTCCTTTTCATTTGTCAACACAAACAGAACCAAAGCTCTTGGAATTATGAAGAGATGCTGATAGTTTTGCTCAACAAAAATCCCTATGAAACTTACCATCTATTCTACATGTTCATTCTGCAGTTCAATTCACTTGGCATATAATCTCTTTTTTTTTTTTTTTTTTTTTTTTTTTTTTTAAACATTGCCAACAACAAAAAAAAATTTGTTTGCTCAATGAAATACTTTTGACAATGGTGGGGATGAGGGTCAAAATAAGAACTTTTGGTATCCCTTATATATATTTTATGACATTGATATTTGATTGAATTGTAATTTAATGCAACTTGGTTTCAATAAGCTGTTGATATATGCACTAATAAAGAAAAAAAATTATGAAGTGTTTAACTGTCAAATAATATTTTGCTTTTTATTTTTAAGGTTAAGGATTTTTAATTTTTCAATCTGTACCTTAGAAATGTTTCATGTTAATCTGTGAAAATAAAGGATATTTAAAATTTTTATTTACCTAGGTCTCTGTTTAGAAAAAAGAGCTTTCTACAGAATGATATCTGGACTCCACACAAGCATCAACATACACCTCTCTGCTAAATACTTATTTCCAAGTGAGTATTTTGCATTTAATAAAGAAAAGACAATGATGAAATTTATGGAATCCTTGTCATCTCTTGGTTAATTCCAAATACCTTCTCTTTGGTACTGATAGATAAATGAATGCTGTTTAACTTTTTATTAAATCTTCCAGTTTATTTTTTAAAAAACAAATAGGTGTTTGATTTATCATGTTCCCAAGAGTCATGTGAAGAATTGCAATTGTTTGAGTGCATCTAATTTCTCATGATTTATTCTTTAAATCGATGATATTTAAATATTTTTTATTCCTGATGATCTGATTGTGTCTATTAACCAATCTTTTTATTAGATGCTGATAGAAAATAATCGCAAACATATTGTTATAATATTGTTTTTTTTTTTTTTTTTTTGTGGTTTATTTGTAATTGTGTATCATTATCATCTCATAACATCTTTATTTTTTTCTTTCAAAATGAAATAAATCAAAGACACCTTTTTTCTGTTTTTCTTTGAAGGGGGGGCAGGGTGACTACATTATTAGTTAATTTTATTCCATAAAAGATTTCAATTTCAAAGATGTCTATTCTTATTCCATTTTTTTTTTTTTTTTTTTTTTTTTTTTCTTAGATAAAGCATCATCAACTATTATTAATTTTGACTAGTATTTACATTAACAGGTGGGGTTGAGGTGTCAGCTCCTTGTCACACTACTCAGTTACAACCGGTTGGTGTGCTGCACCAGATATAACTGGGTGGATTGGATAATTCATCAGTATCAACAGAGCACGACATACCCAGGAACAAATCCCAACAAAATTGGTAGATTTCTCTGTGCCATTTCACTTGAACAGAGATTAAGCCTTTCCCTGTTCCACCTGTCTGTTTGATGGCAATCATCAGTGTCTGGACCCAAATTCTGTCATTGTGCCTCTGTAGAAAATCAATGAAATTGATCTGCAGAGTGTGATATCCCTTTGCTTCTGGTTGCTGATCAGTTGAATTGTTGGTCTGCTTAAGCAGGGAAAAAGTTCTTTAATAAGTGAACGGAACTCATTCAGTAAACTTAACAAAATGTAATGTGAAGAAAATAAATCTACAGAATTTAACTTCTAAAAAATGACGTCTGAGGGTTCTCTGTATTCACAGCATCTGTTTGGTAAAATGCAGATGTGTTTGGACCTGGTTCATTTCTTCCCCTCACAGAAAATGACCACCAGTAAAATGCACACTGGTTTATTTCTTGATAACAATAATTAATGACTTCACTGCAACTTTCAGGGGCCTGAAAATTACAATTTCTTATGCTCGTTATCTCCATATTTCCATAAATTAACCTGATAAGATGACTCTCCCTCTGGTGAATGATTCCCCATCAGAAATTCCAAATAATGATAATTATAAAAATTGCATTCACTGAAAAGGGACATCTAGTTTCTCTCTAATCTTCAGCTTCAAATTAATTTTACCATTGCCAGTTTTCAAACTGTGTACTCTTTTCAAGCAAGCACTATGACCACTGGTGGAGTTAATAAAAAACATATCTGTCACCTATCATTGCACCAAGTACATTTTGGCTGGAGGGTATTTTGAACTGACACTTGAAAATGCATTAATCTTACTTTATCAACTATCAACATAACTTCTCATTTCTTTCCAATTTTTAGTCCACAGTTCATACGCTCCTGAAGCCAAAGTTGAATTTGCCAAAACTGTTTTAATTTTCTGCTTATTTAAATTTTAAACCTCAAATGCCATTTTTACATTTCTACCTATGAAATGTTGATTTCAGTGTCAGTAATCTGCAACAACTTTTATCCTAATATTTTAAATTGCTTTTTATAACACCTCAAGCTGCTGTGGATCAGATACAAAGGATAAAAAGTGGTTTAAAAATAAATATAAGACTAAAATAAATACTAGTCAAAATTAATAAAGCTGCATATTCATAAATTGTGTCACTGTAATGTATATACAATTTAATAAAGAGAAATTAATTTTATTTTTTTAACGGCAATAATTTTTTTATAAAGTAGCTGACATAACAAGATTTGAATCTTTGCAGGCACATTATACAAAGCTGGTGGATGGGGAATGAATGTTGAAGAGTTCAAGCGAAGATTTGACCCTGAAACAACATCTGGTCAAGGACCACAATGGCTGAAGAACCTCTACTTCACTTATCTTGTAGAATTACGTGCAATTGCAAAAGCTGCTCCTTATTTGGAAAAAGTAAATTTCCTCTTACTGCGTACATTTTTTATCCTTTTTTTTTTTTTTCTTCTGGAATCCATGTCCATACAGAGGCAGCTTTTTTTTTTTTTTTGTTTCATTTTCAACAGATAATAGATTTTTTAATATTTACCTTATTCTGCTTTTGTCAGAAATTGATTCCACTCCTTCTCCCTCCACACACAAATAACAAAATCCATGCCTGTTGTTCAAGTCCCTTATATAAAATGGCATCATATTTGCATACCCTTTAGTATAAGTATCTCCAACAATTTTCTCAAAATTAGCATATGTTGAAAAAAGGCCCCAAACAATGAAAATAAAGACCAAAGTAATTTTTGATTATTTTATTAAATTTTTTTTAATCCTTTCTAGGATTTTAGCATTTTTTTTTCTCCGTTTGTTACCCCACTTGCTTAGTTTTTATGAAATTTTGAGAATTTCAGCATTTTCATATTTATATTAGATAAAACTAAAAGCAGGACTCCTTGGAGAATTTAAATCCTTAATTTGTTTTTTGTCAAACAGAAACACCATTTACTGAAAATATGCTCTGAATTGTAAGATAAAATTGTGACATTATTTAATTAGTAAACCTTTTAATTTTCAATGAATAATGAATTTTTACAAGAATTGTTTTCATATTTTTTTTTTTTTTTTAATTAGAAAAATTTCTTAAGTTTTAAATTTTTTAAACTTCTGTTATTAATTTCAGCCTTTTAGATGATACTATTAAGTGAAAACAATATTTACTCACCAGAACAAGAAATCAGAGAGCTATTTCAAATTCTATTTGAGTTCATTACATTCACTTTTGCAGAAATAACTTTGGGAAAGGTATGAATTCATCTTGTCTACGGGTTAAATTGCAGAGTAGCTGTGATTGACAACCAGTCTAGAAGGACAACTTTGAATTCAAAACTATATGTTGCTTGGGCAAAATACATACTCTGAAGCCAATGAAATGATCAGGACTTTGACTCTATAACCTTAACTGTGGTTAATGTGACAGATAATTCCTTAAAGCAGCAAATAGAAAAAAAGTACATTTTTGTTAATGCAATGCCTGTTATTTTATTCCTTACCAACCATTAGTTCTTAATAACTGATAGATGGAGGATACTTTATGTAAAAAAAAAACAAACTAGCAACACTAACACAATATTGAATGTAGTCAGTGTTAGTGTGTGGTTATTGCATTTCTGAATTCACCTAACTACATACTGAAAATATTAAAAAAAATTCAGAAAAATTAAAGAGTAAAACTTTAATTTATTATCATATACCAATCACTACACTGAATCCATGTAAATGAAGAAATGTCCACTGCTGTAGCTTCCTACCATTTTACAACTCCTCAGTCTTTCTTTAGCATCTTTTTTGGGCATTGTTCAGCTTGTGCTATTCATGTACACCTATGATTTCATCTCCAGATTTTGAAATGGAAACTTTATTTTCTATTAGAATACCTAAAATTTTATTAAAATTCAATGATTGGTTGATTTGTTTGTGAAAAACATAGATTTTTAAAATCAATCTTCTAATGCAAATTATTATGAAAGTTTACAGGTAAGCAACTATTTTCACTATGAATGTTCATAAATATCTCTAGGGTGTATACAAATAGATTTTATATCACTTTTTCAACCTTTTGTGACACAAAGAAATTTACTTTTACACAATGTCTTTTTTTTTTCTTTTCCTCCTCTCCCATCAATTTCTCACCAAATTTTTTTCTTCATACCTATAGAATAAGTTTACATAGCTTTTACAATATATTAAGTGTTAAAAGTAATCTCTAGCTGATTTAAAGTATACAGAAGGATATGCATTGGTTACATGCAAATACTATGTCATTTTATATAAAGAATTTGAACATGTACGGATGTTGATATTTGTGTGTGGCGGAAGTGGGTGGAACCAATCTCCCTCAAATACTAAGGAATGACTGCACGGTCTCCTTTATATATTTATTTAGCAATTATTCTGTTCTATTTCTCTTTGATTTTAACTTGCTATTGTAACTGTTGTAACAATGCAGCATTTTAAAAGTTGTTTGTTAAAAAAAATATTACATCAAATTAATTGACTGCATAAAAATAAAATTGTAATTATATTTTTATTTTTAAAAACTGTACATTTATAAGAAATTAGTATTTCTTTATTTTCATTATTCAGGAAAGTTTCTACACTGGTAATGAAACTCAGGACACAATTGTCAGGAAAGATATGAAGACGTTGTTGGATGTTGTTAAGTGAGTTGGCTGGTTATCTTATCCCCTTTCTATCCATTTCAATTATCACTGAACAAAGTTTCCTTATAACTCACTTTGTACATTTTATAAGTAATTTTATTTTATAATTCTTATTAGCTTTAAAATTATTAATCTTGCTCATGGAAAATAACTTTCAGACCAATTCTTTGTAGTTTTATTATATTTTAGGCTAAACACTACCTGTAATGTAACAATTATGAAAATGAACACATTTGTATTATGAATTTGTTTATATGGAGGGGTGCTGAAAATCATTGGCTAACCCACTTCACAAAATGGCTAAAGATTAAGAATTAAAAAAATATTTTGTTATTAGGATCTCTTCTTTTTTAGCCAGAGAATTTTAAGTGTCTTTCAGGAAAATGCCATGCATATGCACGTGCAGTGGCATATCTTTGTTCCATATTCAAAAACTATTACAATTGTTGAAGTTTAGAAATAAAACAAGTATATATTTTTTTTTAGAATTAATAAAAAGCATCATTTACAGTTTTAAATAGTTCATAAATTTATAAAAAATATTAATTTACTGAAAAAATAATTTTGTTTATTTTAAGAACTTTATGAAAGACCATATTCTTTGTGAAAAATATATTTTTCTCACTTAGTTTTTTCTGTTTCTTTTGTTTTTTTTTTCTTTTTTTTTTTACTCTATCAAGTCATAAAAAATGATTCAGGCGAAATATAAATATGGCAAATAATCCTTGTAGAAGTTTGACAAAAGCAAGCTAAAAAAGAAAAAAAATATAATGTCCTCATGTTTTTTGTTTTTTTTTTTTTTTTTTTTTTTTTTTTTTTTTTTTTTCAATATTTTGCTTGTTTGTACAGGTGGGTGGGAAATTGTTTCTTGACTATATTTTTCCCTCTGGACATTCTCAACATTTTTTTTTTTTTTTTTTTTTTTTTTTTTTTTTTTAATGACTAAACTAGTGTCTAGACAAAGACTGAAAAAAATCAGAATGACAACTTTGTTTAATTATTGGAAGTACATGTCTTGGGGTGGCTCATTGATTGCAAACTTTGTCCAGAAATAGTCAAGATCTAATGCAGTGTTTCTCAACCTTTTTAAGCAACAGCACACTTAGAAGCAAATTAACATATCAAGACAGATTAGCAAAATTTTAAAATTCTATTCAACTATTTGTTCTGCTTATTTAGTGTGAAACCTATGCCTAGTGTTTTTTTTTTTTTTTTTTTTTTCAATGTTTGGTCAAATGTGCACTATGTAAACCCTCATTTCTTCAGTTGAGCATAGGCTTTCTTGCTTTTTATTTTTGATGTTATTTAGGGTTGAGAAGCCTAATTCACATAAATCAGAACTAGAAAATTGCAAACAAACTGATAGTCTTTTTAGCTAATGTGGGATAAAAAGTTTAACACTTATTCAAATACTAACACTGTAACATTACTGCACACACTGTGACAATATTTGCGGCACACTTAAGAGGGTTGTGTGGCATGGCAGAGAATCACTGATGTAATGTAATGTGACTACACTGGTCGCTTTTTTTTTTTTTTTTTTTTTTTTTTTTTTTTTTAGTATTTTCTCATGAGTTAATGTGCAAAATCATTTTTCCCAGAAAATGGTAGCACATCTGTAATACAGGTATTTCCAGTATTTTTATTTTATATGCAAAAGTTCAGTGTCCTCTTTTGGGAAAAATAGACTAAATACACAATTGGAAATTGGTTTCGAGTGTTCCTTTTTATTCATTTAGCCTTGAGCAAAAGAAAATAGGTGGCAGACAAGATACATGTGTAACACTGCATATCATTCCTTTTTTAAGTTGGGCAAAAAAATACAACAAAAGGAAAGATTATTGATAAAAACCTTAGGACAGTGGTTCCTAAACTTTTTTTTTTTTTTTTTTTTTTTTTCTGGGCTGCATTTTTGGAATGAAAATTTGTTCATGCCTCACCAAATTTTGTGATAAAGAGTAAAATTAAAAAAACAGGGAGATAACTGCGGATTCAAAGTCGGAACATTATCATTGATAACTTTCTCCTCCAATTTGTGGACCCTAGTTACTGTATTAATACTTGATATAATACAAAAATATCAATGATAAATCGGTCAATAATTATTTATAAATATTTATACTGGGACTAATACATGCAATTACAAATAATCCATAATAATATTTTAAATTTTGAACTCATATTTATTTTTGGCATTTGAATTTTTTGAAACTGTTTCTAAATCTCACCTGCTATCCTCTTCTGAGTCGTTTGGGAACCACTTTTAGGAGCTGCTTCATTTGGAAGCATTTATGTATCCTGAATATTTTGCAAAGTTCAAGAAAAGTGAATTTAATTTAGAGGATAAACCAGAAAATGGAAAACCAGAAAACATTGGAAGAGATCACTTGCAAGCATTTAGATGATGACAATTGAAATTGTTGATCATTCAGCAAAATATGCGAAAGATTGAAGAAAAGAAAAAACAAATGATTTACATGAGTTGAGAGCAAACCATATAAAATTCCCAGGCAAAATTTATTGAATGGTAAGTATCCAAATTGAAAGAATTGACTTCATTGTAGTCTTTTAAACAAACATTTTAAAAATAAGATTTCTGATTAAGACAGCTTTTTGCAAGTGCAAAAATTTTAATGTTCAAATTTTATTTTTTTTAACATTTTATTAATTGTGATTCTTTCAGGTCATTTAATGATCATTTTGATGAGAGTAAGTTATTTCAAGGTGACCCAATTGAAGCAAAAAAATTAAAGGTAAGAAACTCTACAGAATCAAATAGCAAAATATAAAAAAATAACATGTCATCTTTTGGTGTAAGGCAAAAGTATCAGTGTAGATGCCAAATTAAGAATAGACAGCATCATAAAGTAAATTGTCTGAAATCCTGAGAAATACTTATTCTAACAAGGTTGAAAATACCAGTTCAAACAAATGACAAAAAATTATTTGGAACTAATCTATCACTTATCAAACCTATGATATCCATGTAATGTAAATATAAACTTGTAAACATAAAAATAGGAAATTATATTAATTTAGAAATTATGACTGTCAACTTATTACTAGGGTTTTGCAATAATATTGATAGGAAAGGTTTTATTGCTTTTATTTAAACTAAATATCAAAATCTTCAAATTGATTAAACAATATTATACATTTTCAAAAAGTGATTGAAATACTGGAAAATGTTTTTTGATAAAGTGGAAGTAAATTGTCATTATTTTGAAAATTAAATATCAAAATTTCATGCATTATGAAGATCAGTAGAATTACTACCTCATCAACACTAAAGTAGCCATGTGCTTTCATTGTAGCAGAGAAATTGCTTTTGGCTTGTAGAAAAATGTATAATTTTCTGGTGTATATATTTTCTACAAAAAATGATAAAAAATAACAAGAGGTGAATAAAGAATTGCCTTTATTAACTGTTTTAAGTTAAACTGTCAGAATTTTTAATATTTATCTTGCATCCATTATACAGGAAGGAATTTTTGTTTTATTCTTAATTGAAGGTGATTTGTAGTCACAACTATTTCATTTTGGTACTGGAGATTGAAAAGTTCAATGCATTTAACATGAATCTGTCTATGATATTCTCTAGGTGTTTTTTATGTAACATTCATGCACATAAAGTTAAGTGACATTGTGTCATTCTATCTACTAATTTATCTGCTCTTGTTAAGCAACAGCATAACTTGCTTAATGTCATAACATTTTTTGCAGTTAAATTTTATTTGCATTGATCTTGCAGATTTAACTTTTTCATTCTAAAAAGAAATTGTATAATTATTTCCAAATCCAGGGCCTTCTCACTCCTGTTGGAGGAGCTACTTCCTGATTGACCATGTCTTTAGGGGTGTAGCTAGCCTCACCATGCTTGACCAGTTGCAGGTTGGTGAATTTAGAGTTGTAGCAACTGGACCAAAAGGGCAACTCTGAATTCAAAAGCTCCAACTATGGGTTAAATAGCCTCACTAAACTGCAACTGGCCAAGCATGGTAAAGATTTCTACAACTGGTCTGAGAAGGACAATTCTAAATTCAAAACCTGAGAACAGTCATTTGGGGACCTTGTGGAACTCTGTGCACCAGTTCTGTATTCGGCTCACCCAAAAAGTGTGACTGCCAGTCTGTCCTGCTATTTACCTATAGCTAGTGCAGGAAAAATTGTATTCATATCTTTCCCCCAGGGTATTTGCATATAAGTGAATGTAATGAATTCCACTGGAACACAAACTCAGTTCTCCAATTCCTCAATCCAAGTACTACCTAATATTCCACCGTGCATCTTGTATAATTATTTAGTGATATAACATAATACAAACTTAACATAAAATGGGGTCTTCTAAGTTAATTATCTTATTTTTTTAAAGAACTTTTTTATTTTTATTTTTTTAAATGTCCTTTCAGGATGTAGGCATTCAAGATTCTTCAGAGATTCTTGTTTTTTAACATCTGTAAATTGCTATACATTCTTGGGAAAGATATTAGAGTGGTTTCCTGTTGCCTTCTTGAGAGTTTGAAATTCAGAATTTTCCTTCTCTTGGCCACCCAAGGTTACAATTTCACTGCTATATAACACATTGCTGGGGAATGAAGAAATGGATTTATGCCTTTTCCCAAAAGTAAATGGAACAAAACTAGGCTGAAATTTGAACTAGCTTTGCCAATTTCACTTTCTAATATATAGCAATCAAAATAAATTCAACTATTTTTTTACCAATAATTAACATGGTTTCAAAGGAATCTGCCTACTTTTAATATATCCTAAGTTATGGGAAATCAATAAATATAGATTTGAATAATTAGCTGATAAAAATAGATTTTATTAGAAAACAAAAATTAATTTAAATGTCATTTCTTTTGAGTCAAAGGACATGCTGAGCATTAACTGGCTTTAAAATGTAAAATTTCCTTTAATCCCATTATTCTTAAATGTATGTATATAAACACACCAGAGGACTCAATATAACACTTCATTTTTTATAACGGCAATTTAATTTTGAAATTTAAAATAGTGAAAAGAGGATAATTTATTTTGAGCAGTAATATTGATTTGAAAATTGTATTCCTTATTTGGCTAATTTTGTTTACCAGCATATCAACCTCTATCAGTTATTTAATGCCAAAATGTAAATATTTGGAACACAGTTTTATGGCTTCAACTGTGTGAGTGTATGTGTATTGAATGCAATTGTATGCCTTCGACTACAGATAAAAGGTATTGTTGGTAATTTTACTATTAATAGGTATTGTTGCTTGGTTAATTTTGTTTAGTGGCATATCAATCTCTGAGTTATTTAATGTTGAAATTTAAATATTTTGTACATAATTTTATGCTTACAGAATAGAAGTATGTTTCTTAGATATATAGTTTGTAGATCATAAAATGTCGTTCATTTTATTATAAAAATGTCCTGTTGAGTTTTGTTTGTGGGTTCACTATAGCTGGGACCCTAATAGGTGCTTGGGTCAGGGTGGAACTGGAAATAACAGAAGATAAGAGGTGGTACCATGCTCCCCAAAACCTCCAATCTCCCAATCAGAGGCCTTGTTGCTGGATGTACTTTATCATCATACATAAAATAGTTTATTCCTTAGAAATTTTTAAGTACTAAGTTATAGTTATTATATTTTTTCAATTGTGTTTTTTTTATTATTATTTTCAGGAAGAATTCCGAAATCATTTCAGAAATATTTCTCGAATCATGGACTGTGTGGGTTGTGATAAATGTAAACTTTGGGGAAAATTGCAAGTAAGTAAATTTGAATAAATTATGAACTGAAATACCTATCTTCTGAACTGAGTGTATATTCTTGTTTGTAGTAAGTTATCTTAACATATAAAGCTGCTTTATTATTGCTTATAATAATTTTGTGTTTTATCTTGACTAAATAAAATAAGTTCTATATTAAATAATATAAATTCATTCTTTACTATCTGTAGGAAAAATATATCTAAACCACATTTGTACCCATTATACTTAAAAACAATTGGAAGAGAAGTTGTGGTTCACGGCTTCATATATTTCAGAAGTGATGTGGGTTTTTGCTTTTAAAAGTATTTCAATGTTAAACTTTAAATTTTTATTTTTCATATCAATCCTATAATAGTTATCTTGTCTTATTAGTCTTTTATTGTCTTCTCTTCTTAATAGTAGTTTTTATCATATTCTTTAACATTCAGTAACCACTTGCATCCTAGTGGCTTCATTGCCTTGCTTGGGATGAAATGATGAAAAAAAGGTAGTGAACATTTTCTCAAAAACATTTCTCTACAGCTATATGGGAGAAAATACACTTCTATCTTGTCCCTTATAAGATGCCTTTTCACATGTAATTAAAAAAATCATGCTTGTTACTACTTTGGCTATGTATCATGAATTACTCTTGTTAATCTTTTTTCTTTTTTTTCTAAAAATGATTGCACTTCAACTGCTTAACAGTAGGTCATTCTATTTTTAGGTGCAAGGAATGGGAACTGCCTTAAAAATCCTGTTTTCAGGCAATTCAATTGGACCAGATTCGGTTGTGAATGCAAACCAGAAAAACTCCTTTCAGCTCCGAAGAACAGAGATTGTGTCCTTAATCAATGCTTTCGGAAGGTGAGTAATGTGTTGTTCCTTAGCAAATTTATCTTGTCTTAGGTAAACAAATCTTATTTTTTAGAAAAAATTCAAATAAAACACATTATTCCTCTCTTATATCTGAATGACTAGCTGAAACCTTTCTCATTAATATTGACTTTCAAGGGTACTGTCTGATAGCAGGCTGATTTCACAACATTCTTTGTAAGATTTTTTTTTTTTTTTTTTTGTGATTTTCATCTTGTACAAGGTCCAAGAGCCATCACAGTAGAGAGTAAGAAGTACAGTTTATGGGGATATGTGGGGAAGATAATGGTTAACCCTTGACTTAAATAGGTTAAGTTTGTAGTGATTGTGGAAGCATGTACTTTACTCAATGCTCCACAATTGTGATCTTGTACCAGTTTAAATATGTTACTCTTGCTCATAGTTTTGTGGGTCATTGATAGCAAGTTTGATCATTTCTAGGCATTCCATAAATAAAACCTTGTCAACAAATATCTACTTAGCCTATTATAGATTATAAGAACTAAATCTTTTTCAATTGGTGAACTTTTGTCAACACCATAAGATGTAGGTACAATCCCAGCTTGAAGCAATCTCATGTCTAAGCACACTGTTGAGCTGTGATACATTGAAACAGTCTATCTGTGGATCACACACACACACACACACACACACACACACATATATATATATATATATATATATATATATATATATATATATATATATCAGTGATGACTCCGGGGGTTTGGATTTGTCAGGCTCAGCCCAAACGAGTCAACATTCAAGTATATCTATTTCAAAACAACAAAAATCTTTTGTAGTGCGTCGTTTTCATCCTTGACTTTAGCTGGATCCATAATTGTTTTAACTCTGTACCTCAAAATGTTGACCAAAATACATCTTGTTGATATTGTTCATAATAAAGAAGAAAGAAAAAACAAAGTAAGTAAAAAAAAAAAAAAATTAACATGGCTAGTCAGGCTGTGTAGAGCTGAGCCCTATCAAGCTGGAGTCATACTTAATAGGCAATGTATTTCTTGCTTTAATTTTATAATCTTTTAAAAATCTCTAATGATTTGTATGCCCTGTTTTTCAAAGAACACATTTTTATTTATCAAACGACTTCTTCCCATGAACCATTACTTTGTGGAATTGACTGCCAAGAGGATGCTTCCCTGATCACTACAATCTTAACCTGTTTAAGTCTACTACTAACTGTTACCTTCTCTATATATCCCCATAAACTGTTCCTCTTGCTTCTTACTTTGCAACCCTCTACCTTGAGTGACTTTTGAGCCTTATACAGGATTAACATTATTGTAAAATATATATAATCAATGGAGTTTAAATTTGGTGAGCATAGAGGCCAGTGGAATACTTGGAAGTCAGCTGAAAGTTCTCCTGGAATGTACAATGAAGAGTTATCTAGCTGAATTTAATCATCATCATCACTGGGGAAACATAGCAAGTATAGTTGAGTGCAAATCATGTGTAATCAGAATCTGTGCATATCATACTTGATGAGAGACCCTAGTCTCATGAGTAGTCCTTGTGAATTCCCACCAAATTACACCCAAAATCATTATGGAGCCACACCCAGTTTGTACAACACTGTTACTGATTGAACCCATTAGCCAGTGATGATGTTCTTTGGCCCAGGGGCAATGACTATAAAAATCTACAGAACACATTGTATTTTTTACTCTCCATCAACTGCTAGGTTGAGTGGCGCTAGCATTGAATTTGGATGTACTTTGATGCAATGTTCCCTTTTCTTAGATGGTTACAATCTTTGTCAGTTGCCAGCAACCTTGTTTTGGCATTACTTGCAATTGCCCTTACCTCTCATTTGCTTCAGATATCTATCTAGGATTCTGGTATATCCTTGTAACTGTTGTTTAAAAAAAAAAAAAAAAAAACCTGGAACAGTTGCCACGTCTGAGATTTTTCTTTTACCTCCTCTTTCTGGTTCCAACAATCATTCTGTGATAAAAAAAAAAAAAATGTTAAATCCAGTCTGAGTTTCAGGTTTGCTACACTTTAACTATTGTGAGATCTAACTATTGTGGCTAGCAGCTCAGTATGCAAAGTTTGAACAGCACAATGCTTTCTAAGTATATCTGGGGAAATTAAAAACAAAAATATCATGGAAAATAAGGAAAAGATCATCAGCCTACAACAATCAATCCAAAACCTGCAAACTTTGCTTGGAGGAAAAAATAGCTATTATTACCTTCCCAAACCAAAATAAATTACTGAATAAACAATCTGAGCTCATCTCAAAATGCAGACATGAAAACAAATTTTTACTACATTAAAAATTGAAAACTGAAAAGAATAAATAAAAATAAACAAAATAATAATAAAAAAACAAGTAAAATAAATTAACCCAAGCAAATAATAAAAAAAAAATTAACAAACCACTCCCATCAGAATAGATTACATGGAACCAGTACGCATACATACATACATACATACACTTCCCAAGTTACATGGAATCGGTATATACACACACACACACACACATACTTCCTAAGTTGTGTGGGGTTTGTGTGCGTGCAGTTATCCTGCTTTTGTCAATATATATATATATATATATATATATACACACACACATTTGTGCCCCACAAACACTTGTATGTGAGTGGTTTGATCACTGTATTTGGTCACTATGCGTGCATGTTGTGTGCTTTTGCATGTGGTGTTATGATCTATTTAGTTCTGGTTTAAATTTGTTTATGAAATTTTTTTCTTGTATTTGTAGGTAAGAATAATTCTGTTTGATATATTGGCATAATTTTAAATTTTCCCTGGTTACATTTGAAGATGTGTTGTGATAAAAGTTTTCTGTTGTCTGGTAATTTTATGTTGCTTCTGTGTAGGGAGACCCTGTTTAGTTGTTGACTGATGCCTATATATGACTTTTTGTGCATTTGAGTACATAAATCACATTTTTGGACTTGCAGTTTAAGTTTTTAATTATTATGAATGTCATTTTGGGATTTTCAAAAGTGTACAAGTTTCCTTCTATAATGATGTCACAAAACCCACATCTTTTTTGTTGCATTTTGTGACTCCCTGTATTGTGTGTTGGTTAAATTTGGATGTGTATGTGTGTACATATATATGTGTGTATGTATACTGATACCATGTAACTTGGGAAGTGTATGTATCTGTATATGTACTGATTCCTTGTAATGGGACAGTGTGTGTGTTTTTGTACAGATGTGTTCACTGATTCCTCGTAGTGAGACAGTGTGTATGTATGGAGAGGGGCTATACACATATATACACACATGCTGACAAAAGCACACGGAAATGGAAATAGATCTAAGAACACACAGGGGTCATTAAAAGATAAGCATGCTGATATCTACTCCATCATTTCTCGAACCAATCTTTTTTTATAACCCATCACGCAGAACTTTTCACTGCCACTTCAAGAAAGACGTTTGGATCACTAACATAAAAAAAAAAGAATGTCTCATATCAAGAATATTTAACATCAAAAAACATAAAGGAAAAATTAATTATTTTTAATATGTGGAAATCGCCACTCTTTGCCTGATGATGGTTGCGAGACCAGAAACGCGTGTAACAAAATTATGGAAAATAAAGCATATTTTTTTAAACATCCACATTACAACCAAAAAAACGTTTTGCGGTTTTTTTTTTTTTACTATACACACTTTTCTCTTGTTGGAACTACTATAACCTCTACCTTTCATTCATATATATATATAAAATAATATATATATATATATATATATATATATATATATATAGCATGTGTATGTATGTGTATATATATATATATATATATATATATATATATATATATTCAATGTTTTAATTTTCTCTTGTGCCTTTTTGTACTGTTTCACACACGTGTCTATCACGTAGGCCTACACAAACTTCACAAACACACATTCTCTAATTGAAATGCTTTATGTAACTAGTCTTTAAATGTTTTCTTCTTTTATTGCCATTGTAATTCTTTTGTTAATACATGTTTTCATTTGTTTTATATTGTTTTGTGGTATTCATTTATTACTTGGACTCTCATTCGAGTCTGCAATAATTGTTACGGGAAAAATAATACCAGGAGACACGTGTTTTCCGCATAAACATAACAAGCATTCCAGCAACAGACATTTAATTTTAAAACTAAACAGAAATATATGTTATAAACATTGAATTTAAATCTAAAAACGTGATTCTTGTTGATACAATTTTATAATGTATTTTAATGTACCTGCATACTGAATCTCATTGACACTGTAGAAAACTTCATTTTACAGGCGTTAAATTTTCTTTAATGTTTTCTTTTTTTTTTTTTTCTCTCTCTCTTTTCCCACTTATATCCTTTTTTATTTTTTCTTCTCAGTATTTTTATTTGTTATCTAATTTGAGATTGCTTTAAATAATGTTGCCATCATTTATGTCAGTTTTAGTATAACCATATTTATTTGCAACCAAATTTATACTGTTGTCTAAAAATTAAATTTATTAGTTGATTAGTATGTATATTTTTCCCTTATTTTTTTTATTCTTGCAGATTATCAGAAAGCATCAAAGAATTAAACCTTTTCCGAAATATGATGTCATGACCACATCTTTCTGTCTAGAAATACTCGTCTGTGATACTGCTGCCAAAGCAAACCACTATTCACCAAAAGATAATGTTTTTTTATGCTGTATTTTCCCAACCTTTATACATCATCTTCAGATTTTAAGAAAAAGTCATTCACCAGTAACATTGAGACAAAACGGACACCTAAAGTAATACACATATAATTTCCTGGCCACAAGAAATGAGAGAAGTGTGAATGAATCAAAAAAGAAAAATAAATGCTATTTTTATCAATATATTTAGATGTACACACACACATATCTCAAAAGAAAACTATTTGTCTACAGATCAACAGTGTCTGAAATGATAATTTCTTTTATCATTTCTCATAGCATTATTGATGTTTTCATATCAGAAGCAGATTGAAAATAATTTCTTTAAATAGTTCTACATCGATTAGCCATTATTTAGCTTAGTTGCAATACAGTTTACTATATTTGATATTCTGTTAATTCTTACACATTTTATCCCTAGTATGTATTTCTCATTAATTTAAACATTATATTTTAATGGAGAAACATGTTTGAGTAGATGCTCTTTGTGGGGGGTATACATACAGCCTGAATTACATCTACTGGCCTGTGTATTTGAGTCTTAAAGAATATGCAGGGTTCAAAGTTGTGCACCCCCTTGTAGGAGAGACTACCATCTGATCTGGCATACGTTAGACCATTTGGCCACAGGGTTTCAAAACCCAGCAAGTAATAAGAAGTAATGTCAGATACTGAAAATAAAATCAATTCTTCAAAAATGACTTTGTCTCAGATATGTCAAGTTAGCTGATATGTCAAGTTAGCTGATATGTCAAGTTAGCTGATATGTCAAGTTAGCTGATATGTGTCGGTTAGCTGATATGTCAAGTTAGCTGATATGTCAAGTTAGCTGATATGTCAAGTTAGCTGATATGTCAAGTTAGCTGATATGTCAAGTTAGCTGATATGTCAAGTTAGCTGATATGTCAAGTTAGCTGATATGTCAAGTTAGCTGATATGTCTGAGTTAGCTGATATGTCAAGTTAGCTGATATGTCAAGTTAGCTGATATGTCAAGTTAGCTGATATGTCAAGTTAGCTGATATGAACTTTTAAGCAAGTATGGTGCTCTTGAAAAGATCTGGACAAGTTGTGCATTCCTAAAAAGGCTAATTTTACCTTGCTGGGCTGTGAAACTCACTGTGCCTGAGTGGTCTAAAGCACATTGGATTAAAGGAAAATGCAGATTCAAATTCTGCTGGAGGATGCATTCTCTTAACTCTTGAAGGCACAAGCAAAACAGGGCATCTACTTATGTGTATCAACTAAAATATAATGTTTTAAGTAATGAGAATTAATGCTGGATTGAAAATAAAATCCTAAGAAATTACCTGGTAGCTATATATACAATTCATCTGTTTTTTTCCCACTATTTTTTATATAAATTAATTTCTATAATCCTGATAAACTAAGGATATTTTTAAAAAGTAAAAACTTTTTTCATGTTGAAAGTATTAACTAAAAAATAGTGTGAGATAAGCTCCTTATCTTTCTGATGATTCCGACATAACTGAAATGCATTATTGTTTACTTTTACCTCCAAACATACAATCTGAAAAATAGTCAGAATTTTCGAATGACTTCTCTACAATTATACAAAGTACTAAAGAAATTTTTGTTTTTATTTTATTTGATTTTATTTATTTTTTTTTAAATAATTCCTAAATATTGTTATCATTTCTAGCATTTATTTTCTGGCCAATTATAATCCAAGTCACTAAATATATGTGAAAGTGATATGAGTAAAAGTGTAATGAGCAGTAGCAAACAGTTATTTTAAAGAATTTTTTAATTTCATTTTCATTGGCTACTGAAGAATCATAAATTAAGATAACTTGGAAGAAAGCATTTGATGTAAAAAAAAAAAAAAAATTATAGTAAAAGCATCTTGATAAAGCTTTCCTTTGCATTTGAATTTGGAAAATGATCATTGTTCACTTAACTAAAAGACTTTATGGAAAGCAGATAAAATATTTTTTTTTTTTTTTTTTAAATTACTGATGTATTTTTTCTCCAGGTTATTTCAACAATTATATCACCAGTTCTCTCATTTAACCATTTTAATTTTTAATACAGATAAATTTATAGATTTTGCTCTTCATAGGCAATCAATATTTTTTCTACTGTATGAATGAATCATGTCATCAAAAACAATATAATTGTTCTGCTATATTAAACATAATTTATTGAATATTTTGTATTGTGCAATAATATTGATTGCAATCACTAATATTGCACAGTTTTTCATTATGTAAGGGGTATTCCCACATATATTAAACTATTAATATTTGATATTGAGTAATAATATTGAATGTAATTAAAGTTTACAATATTATTGTCACATCAATATTGAATATAAAAATTTTTGTGCAATATTTTTGAATTTTGACATAATATTGTACATTATGCATAATTTATGTTTAAGCTCTTTCTAGAGTTTTAGAATAAAAAAATGTTGAATAATATTGATTGACATTGTAAGAGTAAATAATGATTCTAATGCTGTTTGTTTAATCGTATTAATATTTTCCTTTTTTTTTTCTTTTAGTATTTAAAAAAACATACCCCCCTCTTTAGCTGCTAACATATAATCACGTTTTTTAGGTTATTAATCTTATTAATTATTAGTTAATCTTAAAAAATTAATGACAAGTTAAAATAAAATTCTCTTGACTATGTAAATTTTGCGCTCTCTCTCTCTCTCTATATATATATATATATATATATATAATCTTTCTATATCTATCCATCTCTCTACATATATATATATACACACACACACACACATATATAATCTTTCTATATCTATCCATCTCTCTACATATATACACACATATATATATATATATATATATATATATATATATATATATATATATATTAGTGTATTACTGAGTCTCATTTCACAAGTGACAGGATTAAAAATGCCAAAAATGTCAATCTTCATATATTGGAATTATATTTGTAAGTTCATTGAATACTTTTCCTAACTTAGATAAAATGTATACATATTTAGATTTTAATACTAATTTCATGAATAACTTTTCTTGAAATGGCATTTTGCTTTAAGTCAAGGTGTTAACCATATTGTCATCACTCATTTTTGTAACATTCTTTTTTTTTTTTTAAAGATGAAAAATGCATTGCTCACTTTTTTTCTTTATTATTCATATATTTCGATTTCCGTTTATCAGAAATATTTCTTACTCTTGTTTCTTTTACTATTTCCTTTTTTTTCCAGATTTAAATTAAAATAATTTAATTTTCTCTCTAATGAAATTCACCAGTAACTGAAAAATTTCATTCTAAATAATCCTAGTCTTATTTTTAGTTAGTATTGTTTAACAAATACCACATCAATGAAATAATTGGATTTGAAATAGCTTTACTTTATATGGAATTTTTTAGGTGCCCATTCTATCAAAATAGGCTATTAAAAATTAATCATAAGTTATCTAAGAATGTTATTAATAAACTTAGACTCTTTATTAAAGTTTTTTATTTCTATTTATTTATTTTTATTTTTTTTTTTCAATAGTTTTTAAATTCTTGTATTTTATCCCAGTCAGCATTAATAAATTTCAAAACATGTCAGATGATCTCATTTGTTTCTCTCATTAACAACATGGTACCTTTTTTTTTTTTCCTTTTGATTGTAGCATGCAAAATAGACCCTATAAAAAATAATCATGTCTCTATCTCATTGTTTATGGTTATCACTTGAAAAAAAGATTTTGCTGTTAAATAAAATATTACAAAAGATTTGACTTTTATCCTTCTGCCTTCCATTTTATTACATCTTCAAGAGAATATTAAAAGGACTAATTTACATTCAATAAAAACCGTTCAGAAATTTGGAACTTATCCAATGAAATAGGCGAGCAAAATTTACAATACTTTTGTGTTTACAAATCAAATCAATATATAAGATTTCAGTCTGAGAAGTGTGTAATTACAAACTTCCAAATGAAATATTACTTGTAAATAACATGTGAATAAAACTTTCTTAATTAAAAGCCTTAAAGTCTACTTTAATGACAAGCATTTTCATGAAGGGTTTTTGTTTGTAATTTCATTAAGATTAAATATAACATTAAATACAGCAGTTTTCTTTTTATGAAACCTCAACAACAGATTGGCAAAACATTTTGAGAGCATTATGAAGATATTAAACTTAATAAATAACTAAATTATGAAGATTAGAATATTTAATAAAAAGCTTTATTTAGGAACTTTGATATAATTAATTGCATTTAATTCTTTTTACATATATATTTCATTTGTTTAAACTGAAAAATGATAAACTTGTTTATTATATTAAAGTTAAATGAATACTTTTATCTATTAAATTTAAAAACTGATATCTTTAGCATTAGGGTTTAATAATACTTAAAGGAAGGAATTTACCATAGTTAGGATCAAGTCAATGCGAGCACTCCTTTCCATAGAGTATGTGTTTCGCTAGGGCTATGTTTATTACATTCACTTATGTGCTAATACCCTTTGGAAAGGTATGAATCCAACTCTTCTCTCCCCAGCTTGAGTGGCAACCAGTCTAAGAGGAGAACTCTGAATTCAAAACTGTATGTAGCTCTGGTGAAGCACATACTATGAATAGCAAGACAGACTGGGTTCTATAGCCTTGGATGGCAATCAGTCTACTGAATAAGAAATGGCAACTTACTGAGGGAAAATCTTCTGCTTAGTCAGTTGTGACTCAAAAGAGACATTATTGCCCAGGCATGTATCACGTATGGCACTTGACATAATTAAAGTTTATTTAAAAGAACTGGAATTATATCTTATTTCTTGTCATGAACTTCAGTTAAAAAATAATTTGAGAAATTACAAAGATATATTTGCTGAGGATATATGGAATGCAGGAAAATTTAATCTGTATTTTCCTTTTTGAAAGATCTTGGTTTTAATGACTATTTAATATTGTT